TCCGTCGGTCCGTCTGTCCGTCTGTCCGTCTGTCTGTTTCTATGTAAACTAGTCTCTCAGTTTTAAAGCTATCTTGCTGAAACTTTCCCAAAAGTTGTGTAGCTATTGCACGCAGTATATAAGTCGGATCGGGCCGGATCGGCCAACTATATCGGATAGCTCCAATACAAGAGAATGAAATAAAAAAATCTTACGCCGTTGTTTTTTATCAGATCGACTTGATTTCTTCCATATGGCATTTTCTAACTACTATTGAATTTCCGATTAAATTTTATCAAAATCGGACAACTCCATCATATAGCTGCCATAGGAGAGATCGAAAAATATATATAGAATTAATGGAAATAAATTGATAACATCGTTGTTTTTTATCCCACGAGCATGATTTTTTGAATATCAAGTTTTTTAACAACCCTTATATTTAGAAAAAAGTTTCATAAAAATCGGACAGCTATATCTTATAGCTACCATAGGAAAGATCGAAAAATCTATATAGAAATAACGGAATATAAAGTTTTCTAACTCTTGAATTACGAATTAAATTTGATCAAAATCGAACAACTATATCATATAGCTCCCATATGATCTATAGTCGAAAATATGAAAAATGAACAGAAAAATCGTCTTAGCTTCGATGTTGTTTAGCCCTTATGCATTTTGTTCGATATATTTGATGACTGCAAGGGTATATAAGCTTCGGCTTGCCGAAGCTAGCTTCCTTTCTTGTTTCTATTTATTTATATATACAGAAATAGGAAACTTTTTTCGATGTGTACGCTTGGTCAAGTTGTGTTTCTAGACCGCAAAAAATGTTTATACAGATATAATGTTTATAATTAAGAATGGTATCCTATAAGTTTATGGTAATTACTGGATCGATTTAATGGCAAGAATTCCTTTGCCATGAACCCACAAAAAAATATATACAGTAGAAGAAAAAGCTAACCAAAAACAGATAAACGAAAAACTGCGCGTAATTGAGCAATTGAAATTGTAAAATCCCTTTCAGAGACCTGGCCCCCTTTTTTCTGGCTGCCATTTGACTGCGTTTAATTTTCTGCCAAGTTTTTGCCCCCTTTTCTACATAAATTGCCCGCTTTTATTTATTTCGCTGCGCCATTTACAACAAGTGCAACGATTTCTTGTCGCCGATTTTCTTTTTATTTTCTCTCGCTTTGTTGTTTTTTCTTGCATTCTCCAAAGAGAAGAGGCGTGATTTTGTAAAACTTCCGTACAAGATTAAGTTCAATAAACCACCATGTGTGTGTTGTGTGTGCGGGAAAAAGATGGAAAAATACGCGCAAAATTGTCTCTTCTTTCACGGTTTTTTCTTTTGCAACTTGTCATCAACTTCTTTGACTTTGTGTGTGAATATTGCACTTAAATCTGTTTTTTATTCGGTTTTTTCTTACTACCTCATAAAACGCAGGTTCAAATACTCAAAAGAAGAGAAAAAGAGGTGGCGAAAAAGTAGAGTGCTTTAATCAAGCAGAAGAAATAGCGGCAAGTGAACTTTTCTTATTTCATCGAATAGCTGGCTAATCCTCCGTTAGGTTACATCAGTGCAATGCACTTTTGCGATCTGGGCATATCACACTGAAAACAATACTTGCAATTCAGAAAACTATGATTTAATGTACGTGGTTTGACAACTCTATTAATAGTACTTTGTTCAAAGAAGAATGACTCCCATTGAAATGCAAATTATTCCAGCTGAGTCACAAAATACACATATTTTGCATATTTGCATTTAGTCAACGGTTTCGAGGACGCTGCGCAGTCGCGTGCAACGCTTTCAATGTCAAGTTGAAACTTTGCCTATTCACAAAAATAAAACACCACAAATTGATTTAATTGCATAAATATTTTAAGTTGAATATAGACCTTTTAATAAGAGTTCTATGTTTTTTATTTGTTTTTTTCAGGGTGTATTTTCGGCCCTGTCTCTTTGAACTATTGTTCATTTTTCTGACCCCTCCCTATAAAATCTACAATTGCTTTTTTAGCCTGAGAAAGTGTCGGGGAACTTATTCATTTGTTGTGCTTTTTTTTGCAACTTTCTTTGCCCAAGCTGGGACAAACTTGTCAAGCGAAATGCGTGGCTCAGAGCCATGTGCAAAGTGTTTTATTTGAGCGAACAAGTTTGATCTGCCTTTGGAGATAGCGACAGCTATGCTCTTACACACAACAAAATACAAACTCAATTCACACCGTGAGGATTAAAAAATAGGCACATATACGAACAATGCGTGGGAAGTGTTTTCTGAAGCGAGGAGAGCATAATTAAAACCTAGGCATAGTCAGCTGTGATAAAAGATCTTCAAATGCGATGAGGCAACAACAAAAGCCATGAGAAGCACTCGAGAACCTGAACACAAAAAAAAACCTGTATAAGGTATGTTATGCCAGAGATATATGGAGATATGGAGATGCTGATACAATGATGTAACAGTCTAAAGTGTTCAAACAAATAAATGATAACGCGGAGTTGTCGAGTATTGTTGGACACACAGCTGCGAAGGTCTCCAAACGTTAAATGCTTTAAAATCGAAAATTAAAGTTCCAAGAATAACAATCAAATCTATTATTTTAAGATCAATAATCGTTAAGCAAAAAACACATCAGTAAAAACGCTTTTTAAATACATTTGCCCTTGTTAATTAGCCAGTCTCTACAACGAACTCATCAATTCGCCAAATCGCATTACGGAACTTTTCTTCCGATTCAGTAAATGTGAATTAAGTATACACCAACATTAGGCCACAATCAACAGGAGAATATAAACGAACCTTTATGTGAGAGTCTCGTCAAATAAAAAAAAAAAAAAAAGCCATTTCTGATTTGTCTCCCCTGACGAACTCTCATTAGAAGTGAAATTAGAGCGAATCACAGCTTGATGGCTATAAATTGGGCTAAGTTGCCAAGTTGAGCTATATATTCTGCCTTTGGGCCAAGTTAGCAGATGCCTGAGACGCCGAACAAAAGATGAGAAAAACTATAGAAACTGTGTCACTGCGAGAGATAGTGAGGATCGTGAGTCAGTGGCTTCTTTGTTGCCGCTGTTTTTAATCTATTCTTACCTGTGAGAGAATTCGAATAGAAAATAGCCAGAGTTTAAAAACAAGAAAGTTCAGTGAGTTTAGGTTGACTGTTCTGGGACAGCCTTTAAAATGAAAGTTTTACTTATGTTGATCTGAGTTCTTTATATATCTGTACCTGCTATAAATCAATAAACAAACTTTATGTATTTGTGGCCAAGTTTTTAAAGTCTAATTGAGTAGGATTGAATTCCTGGGAATTTTAAGCAATAAATTAACTTTCTACAAACAAAATTTGTTGGTTATAAATATTTTATTACATGTTCTAATTAATCTACAAGGCTTCCTAAAAGATCAAAAGATTTTTAATCCGCAAAAATCTTTGTCAATACAAAAAATTCGCTTATGATTTTGTTTAAATTAGCTAATAAAATATAGTGGAAATTTAATATCAATGAACTGAATAAGTCAACATCCCAAGTCCTATTTTCCAGTCCCACATGTCAACCGTTCGTCGGTTCAGTTTTGGACGAACATATAACGCATTATTTCGCATATTTCACTATAGCCTCATTCGCTTTTCGTTTTATTGTCGAAGCTTTTGACGCCCCTTGGTAACCAAACAAACACTAATAATTAGCAAATGTTGGGGAAAAGGGGAGGGAGGCATAGAAAACTGTGTATGACACACATCAGAAACAAGTTCGGAAACCATTCAGGAGTGAGTCAGATGAAAAATTATTTAACTAAAAAAGGAGGCACATAAATTGAACTTGAACTTGAGCTTAATTAAAAACTGTAAAGCATGAAATCAAACAGTTTTTTTTTTAGCTCATGCCGTTTTCTATGTCACGTTTCGAGTCTATCTTTTCTGTTTTATTTTCTTTTGCAGCTGTTTCAACGTCATTAAAAACGTTGGAACATGAAGATGAGGATAAAGTTTAAGCAGCTTAAAGAATACGACCATGATGATCTAACGCTAATGTCAAAATGGTTATCCGATTAGCAACAGAATCCAAAAATTGGCACGTTCGTGAAGATCAAGTAGAATTGTGAAAGGGGAGGAATAAAGCTGAAAACGGGTCATAGTGAGCTCAAAAAACAAAAAATGAAGACAAAAATGCCCCAAAGCGAATGTCATGAAAAGAAAAAAATAACTAAGATTAAAATGAAAATTCTAAGAAATATTTTAAGCTTTTTAATGGAAATTGGTCCCAAAAAGCAATACCAAGAAGCACAATACTGGTTATTAATCAAATTGAATAATTGCAAAATATTTTGACGAAATACCGCTAAATATGCTTAACGGTTTTTGGAGCATAACAAAAGATTCAAAAAAGGAAGCAGGAATAAATAGAGGTAAATAGGGGATTTGGGGGCGTGCGGGTGCGTGTGCGTATGAGTCAACGCGCAATATGCGGGCAACGACGTCGACTGCACCTTGCACACCGCGCAAAAAGAGGGTGATCAAAAGCGGGAAGAGAAAAAGAAAGGAGGAACGGGAACGAAAGAGAATAAGGTCAAGCGGGGTGCGGCAACAAATATTCCCGCTGATAGCCGTTGATAAAAAGGCTCTCTCTTTCCTTCTCTTTCACCCACTCTCTCTTTTACGCTCGCCTCTTTCACTTATTTTGCATGAATGGAGCACACACAATAGATGAAATGCCTTTTATTTAGATTTAAATATTTAACAAGGCAAATACAAAAACAACAAAAAAAAACGAAAAAATCGCCGAGAAAAATTTCACTTATGGGCTTGGTTTTTTCGCCTTCTGCTGGCACACACACACTTTCTTCGACGTCGACGTCGACTGCGGCAAAGGCAGCGGCGCCTTTTGGCGGCTTTTACGATTTTGTTTATTAAACAAATCCAAAAATTTCCTTTATGGCAATTTTTAAATTTTTGTTTAGTATAAAAAGTAGTATGTATTTTTAACACTGCAAAAATCAACAAGAACATACGAAATATGCGTAATCACTTTAGTTTGTTGTAGTTGTAAATGCTGCTTCTCTTTTCTCCCTTTTGCGTACTTCGTTTTTTTGCGTGTCCGCTTTGTTCTTCCGCTTCGTTTGTTTTTGGTGTAACCTAGCACTTGAAGCACTGAACAAAAAATAGAGACGCGGTCGTTGAAAAAGGATCACAACAATAAAACAATGCGAGACTTTGCTTTTCGGGTATTCTTTCGATTTAGTTTTGCCGCACGCCGCAAATAAAAACGATGGGCTTGGGTCTGAAAAAAAAACTAGTGTGACCGTTGGACACAATGTGCCCAGACGGGGGTGTGGCGTTTACCTGAAATGGTCTCGCAAAAACGCACTAAAAAATCCGATATCCCACAAAACTTGTACATCAACCTGGTGTGAAACATTGGTGTACATAAAATACCAAATTAAAATAAAAAATTGTATCATGCATTTATTGTTTAAGTTTCCATCAATTTTAATTTTCTAGCGTAAGTAGTTAGATACATATATATATATTGTTATATATATGGTTACAATTTTTTTAAATAATATTTAAGGCAAATTAAATGATACAGTTTTTTGGCTTTGAGAAAGTCTATTTTTTGTTTAAGTTTTTGTAGCAAGTGCTTTCCTATATAGTTGCTTGTGTTATTCTGATACTTTCCCTTCTACAGAACGAACTGATTAAAATTATAATTACCACCACTGCTACCACAGCTGTTAATTTAACATTCACTTTTGTGAATTTTAGCGCGCATGTTATTTTGACAAGACGCCGCCAGAGGGCGGTATTTCGGTATTTTTTTGTAAATAAACTGCAGTATACTGCCATATACCAGCTGAGCGAATTTTTTAGCACATTTCTACGTGTGAAGATGTGTGCGTTCGTGTGAATATTGTGAATATTTTTTTACTGTGACAAAATAGACGAAAATCGGCTGTGGAAAACCGAAGTAAACACAATTACGGATAATGGCGATAGGCCCTTAACCCCCGAGTGCCGGCAGTGGCTGTGTAAAAAGCGGAAAAGCCGTACAAATTGCCAATTCGCAGAATTCGCCAACTTAACCTCGCAGCGTTTTGCAAAGCGACAAAAAAAACGAAAAGCAAATAAAAGAAAACGAAAAGCGAAGCGAAGTCGGCGAGTGCGAGCGAGACACCGACAGTCAAGTGAAAAGTCTCCTAATGTTATTGTTGTTGTTGCAAAGCAATTTTTTTTGGGAACTTTACTTTTCCCAGCCGGCGATTCTATCTCACCAAGAATAAAACCAAAAAAATACACTTGTAAAAACAAAAAAATAAAAACGAAATAAATACCGGTAAAATCAAAAGGCAACAAAATGTACGTACGTACATATTTAAGAATGTATGTGTGTTTAAGGGGCAGTTAGAGGCGTGCCTATATGTACGTCTGCATATATATTTAAATTAATAGGTCTTGTTTGGTTTTTATCTTCCTTTCTTCCTCTATCGAGTCTTCCTTTTTGATTTGTATTTTCTTCTTGTGTGCTCAAATGAAAAATAAAACAAAAAGGCTCACTCCAATTGGAGATTTGAGATGCCGATCTCAAAAGCGCAGGCAAAAGCAACAACAAAATTAAGAAGATGGGAAAGAAGAAGATTCGAACCAAACCTATTGGGATTTCAGCTTGGGGAGGTTAACCCTTAGGCGGGCTATATTTGATAATGGCAAAATTAATCTTATATTTATTATTTTTTTTTTTTTTAATATTTTATAAAATGATTTCTGAAACACGGTTTGATAACAGATTTACCGGCCATTATTTTTGGTTCTTTTTTGTTTGGCGCTATTAATAAATCTAAATGTTGTTGATAAGAGGAAATGCCTTTAGATAAGGTTTTTATTAGCCACACAGTGTGTGTGAAATATTTAATAATAACGATTTTAAAGTGTTATTTATTAATATTTTTCAGATGAATTTTCATTATGTTGCCTTGGCTCTGACAATTTTTGTCGCTTTTATTGTCGACAAATGCAATCGATTTTAAAATCATCACGACAATGTTAAATATGTAAAACATTCAAGGACGATTACAAAGACCTCACAAAAATCAGATAATACTATTTTATCTGAGTATTTAAAACACAATTCGTATCAAAGATAATCATAGACCTATCTATAATGGATCAATTTCAAACGTCGCTAAATCCACGAAAACAGGAGCTTTTGGAGGCTCGATTCATAGGAGTTAGGGTAAGTGCGGAAATTTATTTATTATTTACACTAAAAAAAATCACAAAATTTTAAAGATAAAATACCATCTGTACTGAATTGGAAATACTATATTTTTCTTGCTGTGTATAGTTAGATCGCTGCGATTGGCTGTCAATGGGCTGACCCCCGGGGCCATCGAAGGGTTAATGGCAAACGGTTATTGCACTTTGGAACTTTTGTTGTTTCGTCGAGATGCACATGCAGATGCAGTTGTTGTTGCTGCAGATGCTTTTCCGAAGTTTTTTCCCCCTTGATGTTTTCCATCTTTATTTTTGCACTTCTTTCTTGGCTTTGTGCCGCTTTGTTGAAGCGCAAGAAGAGGTATGAAAATGTGGAAAAAGCGAAAATAAATTAGCATTGGCAAAAGGGAGAACGAGAAAAATGTGGGGAAATAGAGAGGAAAATGGGGGAAATTGCGGGGAAAATGAGGAGATGAGTTCAGCACATGAAAAGTACATATTTGAGAGTGTGTGTGTGTATGGGAGTGTAAAGGGGACAAGGTGGGTCTCTATAGTCAGGGCTTATTTTCCAACTTCGCCCCACCATTTTCCACCCACTTCTGAGCTTGTCTTTGCTGGTACATACACAAAAAAAAATTACCTTTAATTTGCTTACCTTCAAAGTAAAACATTTTCAACTGGTGGTTAAAGGGTTAAGTTTCTATTGTTTATATACTGAAAATGTACATTGAATGAACTACTAAATTAAAAAATAAATGTTGAGAGTAATAAAATATGATGAACGATTTCAGGCTGCCAAAACTCTTGACAGTGTAAGGCTTAATCGCAGCACTACCACAAATGTACATACATATGACCCTCATCTTGCTGTTGTTGTTGTCAACATCTCGTCACACACACACACTTTTGGCAAATACAGCCAATACATACATAAATGCATGGCACTCGTAGTACATAAAAGTACATAGGACGAAGACAACGTACACATAGGCATATTTGCACCACCCACCTGAAAGGCACCCAGAATGCCCATACACCACCCACTTGCCACCCAAAAATACAGCCCCCTCCCCAATTGCTGGGGTATTTGGTTTTTTTTTTTTTTTTTTGGTGGGTGGCTCTTCTCTTTTTGCATTTTGCCACGTTCCATTTACTTCGTGTGTAATGGAATGAACGTGCAAATAAAAGAACAGCTGATAAGCAACAACGTTCAGTGACAGAAGAATTAGCGAAAAAAGGTAAATAAAATTGAGAAAGTGCTTGAAAGTGTATATCATAACTTCTGTTAAGTTGCTAAAAATCGAAGACATATCTAAAATATTTTGTTCTAAAAATGTTTTAAATAATATTTATAACGTCTTATTTGAATATATTTTGCGATGCCAGCAGAGTTTGACAATAACAGCAAACTTCCGCATGTTATTAACAGTGACGTTTTGCCGGCTATCTCTCTCACTCTGTTCAGCTTCCTATTTTCTCTCTTTCGCGCTCTTTCTCTCGGTCTCTCTTTCTGTTAATGTCGTAGGTCGGGCGCTGTTCGCTCTGCCGGCTTCGACGTCGCTGCTGCTCCTGTTTTTTTACATACATATGTAAAATAAATTTTAAAAAAATAAGCCAAATAAAATTTTAAATATTTTATATCTTAATTAAACAATTTTATAGATGATTTATCGCACCAATATTATATTATGTTTATAATATTAATACATTTAAATATGCATATTTTTGATTGTTAAAACTTCACTGAATGTGTGTAATTGCCATGCCAACCGAAACTTTGGCTATAAATTGGCTCACCCACTTTAGTTATTTCCCTCTCAGTTTTATCCTCTCTCTTTCCCTCTGCCGGGTTTCTTGTGGTTTTCTGTTTGTCGTCTTTGCCACACACTCAAGTGTTTGTGGTTAATCAGTTTATTATTGCAATTATTTCGCCACTGTAGTGGTAAAATTAACGATCTTTTTATAAACATTTGTAATAAAGAGTGTGTCTGACATCAATTTTATTGATTGAATAAAAGAAATCAAAGCTAGTAAAAACTCTTTCAAGGTAAACAAATATACCAGTCTCTATTGATATTTGAGATTTTAAACTTCCACGTGCCTTCAGGTGCCTGCAACCAAAACATTATAAATAAATTGACAAGGAAAATTCCTAATAAAAAAAGTGGTGTAACACTTTTGAAGGGTAAACATTAATTATTGTGATTATAAACACCGCCAAGTTCCCTTAGGTGCCTGCAGCCAAAACTTTATAAATAAATTTTGTCGATTGCTTGTATTACAAACAAACTACATATCTACTACGTATATTTTATTTGTATAAAGCCAGCTAAAAGTGCAAGGATTATCTTTTGAAATGGAAAAACACCAACATTTCGGTGGCAGCATCCGCGAAATCTAGCTACCTCGGCCGACGTCGCTGCCACTGCCGCAGTCGACGCAGAACAGGGAAAATAAAATGAGAAAGGAAAGAAGAGGAGCCAGAGAAAGCACAGGAAAAACAGCGACGCCGGCAGAGTCAGTTGCAAATTGCAGAAGTCGCAAAGAGAAGAAGTTGCACGAAAAAGCACGGCAGAAAAAGACAGCAAAACGTACACGCAGATAAGAACGAAGCGAAAGAGTGAAGCTGGAAAAGCGGTTTCCCAGCGGAGCGCACTTTTCCATACATTTCCACGCCTCAATGGAGTTTCAGTTTCAGTTGGCGTTGCACATTCGCGGCTTGCGTCGCTGTTGCCGCTGCTGCTATCGTTATCGTTATCGCACCGGCGCTTGTTGTTGTCATCGGCGCGACTGAAAGAGCGAGAGAGCGGAGAAATCATTGCGAAGAAACAATTTCATTCAAATTTTTTTAAATGATTTTTTTGGTGCGGTGAAGTGAAAAATATTTCCGAATTTTTTTAATAAATAAAGATCAAAATAAGCGATAATGAAAGCGAAAAACCGAATAAAATCCCATAAATTATATAATATGTTTAAAAAGGATTAAAAATTACAAACAAAATTATTTAAAATCCCTAACAAAATATAAAAACAAGAAAATCGAACTTGACGCTGGTAAAATACAAATATTGTTGTTGATTAAACTAATATTAA